CATCCAGATGATCTAACTTTCACTGCTCCTCGTAAAACGGCTATGATCGGTCTGACAAACAAAGAAGCTGCTTTGTTTAGTTAGTATCTTCTTAACATATTTATTATTTTTTGGCTATCCCTTCTTTGCAGCTATAATGGGAGTGGCACCGTTCATGCAGAAATTTAGTGTCAATCCGACAACCTACACAGATTGGAATAGAGAAAAGTTGATCAACAAGCTTAAGGTAACTTCTTTCAAGACTACCTATCAATTTGATAAATTCTTTATTTACAGAAACTCGTAGAGTTAGATTATTCTGGAACCGATATGCAAAATATTATTGATGAAATCATAGCTTATTATGTCGATCGAGGAGAAGAAAGGAATTATGAATTTTATATTGACCGCTATACTCAAGTAAGTTCAATCGATTACTTTTTGCGTAGAACAGTTTTCAAATTAGAACATTTTAGTTCATTAGTGATACACTGTTCACGGTTTCACTTGTTGATGGTGCTATCACTCGTCGCAATACCGGTTGGGACATTTATGCATACGTCCTTGACCATCATAATGAAGCTGTATGGAACGACAGAGTGCCTAAGAGGTTAAGAGGTTAGCGAGAATTTTCAGAACTGTATTGTATGGACTCAGTAAATTTAGAGAGTTCAAGGTATGGAATGACATTAGCAAATAATTAGAACTATAGTTTTTGCGCCAGAGTACTTTAACAAGAACTATATTAAATTTTAGGCTCTAAAGAATGCTGTCTAGTATCTTACACGGGGAAGAATATTTGGTCGAAATGGCGATTCTAGAGTTGCATACTGCTACATGCAGTTTCAAACGCAGATTTCATCTGTTTCCATATCTGCGAAGCGTTTCTCTGGAAGAAGTTAGAAGTTTTTCTGTGCTGAAATTTGCCTTGGGCCTCATTCATAGCTTTACAACATAAACAAGGGGTTGATTTGTTATGAAGATATGTTTTCATCAATATTCAGCCTTTCAGCCTTTGTGCTACTTGTTTTGTCAAAACTAAACATTTGCGCATTTTAGTCCAGGTCTTGTAAAAAGAGACTTCCATAAATCCGTGAGGCTTTGCACGTGAAAGCTGGATCAGCGCTTCGAATCACATTCAGTCATTACCACATATAAAATCGCTATTTTGACCAAGTGCCCGCCCCTTGTTAGTTAAAATTTTCTTCTTTGGACCGCTGGCAACGGATGAAATTATGCTTCTTGACTGCTCACAACGAGCTCATCGCTTTAGTGTATGCTATTATCTCAATAGCCTGGGCAGAATAGCACATCTCGTGAAATTAAGTGCAAACAAGATGATTTCGAAAAAAAAACTCCTTCCTCTTTCTTAGTGCGATTGAAAAGCGCGATGTATGATACTTGGTGCGAGTTACGAGCTCTGCTATTTCCCTAAGCCTAGGCATCCATTTGGAACTTTGTATTGATCTTGGTGTCTAGGTTGATAGGTTGGAGTTAATGCTGCGAAACGATGATATGCAAACATGCGGGCTATTTTCATTACATTCAAAGAAATGTCGGAGGGGATAATAGGATCGGTTTTCCATTCATGAGAGTTTTGATTGAAATTGAATTTTGCATTTCAACGCTGATTTTGGTCTGGAAGTCTGTTCTTATATCCACATGCGATAAGTATGTAACATGGGACACGTCAGCAACGCATGATGCATTGTAGGAGCAGCACATGCGAGTGAGTTCCCATACATAAATGGCGTGTATCTTTTGGGAGAATTTAAGTTTGACGAGAACGACCAGGTGATTGCCGATATTTTCCAGCAATCAATAATTGAATTTGTCAAAAACGGGTACGTTGTCTGTTTTTTTTGTTGTGATTATTCGACAAGCAGGAGTGCTTTCTTAGGGCTCCTAAGAATCAGCATGTAGTTTGGCAGGACGCTGGAAAGGACACTAAACTTCGCTACTTAAGGATAGCCCCAAATCCCGAAATGAAGTCAGGATTCAATAACGGTATGATTCATCCAAGAATAATTCTAATCAGACTTTTCTATTCTATAAAATAAATATGAATGAGCAGTGAGCGTGACATTAAACCAATTGTGAAGAAATTTAAGCTTACTTAAATAGCCATTTTTCAGAAACTGTCGACTTCTGGCATAAACTTCGCAAATATGCTTTTGACCTTATTGAAATGATGCCTACAAAGGATTCTAATACGAGGTGGAAGG